CTGCCATGAGCAGCATGAGGAGGATGGTCAAGGTCAGCAGTGCCCAGGAGATGGGTTCGGACCAGGACAGAAACTCGACGGTGCGATTGAAGCAAGCTTCACTCCTTGCCGGGGCCCACTCGTCTACCCCACAGGACTGGCAGCTGTAGAGGGCTGCGGAGGACATGAGCCCAGGTGGTGACAGAGGCACCTCGCACACCACGGACCCCGGTAAGAGATCTGCCGCGGTGAAGCACCCTGCCCTCACAGCCCCCCAGCTCTCTGCAAGAGCTGCCCACTCCTTGCGTCCTGCTCCTTCCCCTTGGGCGCTTCCAAGCCTTGAGGAGCAGAGGGAGCTCTTTTCCCAAAAGACCCCTCCCCAAAAGTCCCCCCAATGGACTTCCCAGAAGTCCATTGCTTGGGTTGAGAGGCACAGGGCCTGCAGGAGCTCAGCTGGGTGAGCTGAGGCTCAGGGGCACGTGGGCTGTGGGTGGGAAGGGGCTTGTGCATCCAGCAGTAACGTGTGAAGGCCCAGACAGGTCTGCAGCAGCCCCCCTTCTTCAGGCTGGCGTATGGAACAGTAATGCTGACCGGCTGTGTTTGGGGGCTCCCCGCTCCCGCTGTTACCTGGAGCTGGCTGTTTCCACCAATACTGACCAGCATCTTCCTAATTTCAGATAGTGAACAATGTACCAGCTGCCAGCAAGGGGTTTGTCGTTGTGGTTGGTGACTCTGAGACAGGAGATTCCTGCCGCCTGTTCCAGGCAGGGGACATTTCCATATGCTGGCTGCTGGTAACCGCATGGTGCGGAAGCCCCGAGTGCCATCTGGGGCACAAAGGCAACCACTGGGTCGAATTTCCCTCCCAGAGGATGCGGTGCAGGAAACGGCTGTCGGGACGGATGTCTCTTGTCCCCTGGCCGCAGGAGAAGGGGCTCTGCGGTGCCATCTCCGTGGTCTATTTGACTGCGTGGGCCCACGTGTGGGCAGCGCTCCCCATAAAGTGCAGGGCGTTGGCTTTGCATACCCATGGGTAAGCAAATGGTAGTCAGACCGACCACGTTCGGATCAGCTCAGAGGTTTTAACTGACCACAGGGAGGAAGAGAGAGCGAGAGGGAAGAGGCTGGGGGAACAGCGAGACGGAAGCAAGGAGCTGACAGGAGGAGGAGGCAGGGTGCGGGCAGGGGAGCTAAGCAGGAAGGAAGAAGAGGGAGCAGCCCTCCAGGGCGTACTGACCTGATCTGTTCAGGAAGGTTCCTGATGGACAGGCCACGCAGCTGAAGCAGCATCGGTGGCGGCTCGCCGCCACCCGCTTCTCCCCAGGTTGACAGGCCTCAGAGCACACCGAGGTGGGAGCCTGTCGGGAGCACAGCAAGGGTCAGGCAGGTGAGCGGGGCGAGCAGCAGGATGCCTCGCTGAGCGCCAGGCCTGGGCCTGGCAGCGTTTGGGCAGCTTGCTACCAGCTTTCAAGACAGACCCTGGGCAGGAGCCAAGAGCTCGCCATGTTGTGGTTCTTATAGAGGTGGTGGGAAAATTAGACTGTTTGAAGGTAAAAGTAGGAGCCTTTTTGGTTCATGTGCCCTGCTTAGTTTTTGGGAGGATGAAAGCTGATACTCAGAACGCAGATCGTTCCCCCCCCCCGCCAGATCGTTCCCCCCCCCCGCCTCTGTCTGCCCTCATTTTTGTCCTGCTATGGGGAAATAGCCCAGAACTGGCGATGTTGGGGATGTAGCTGGCTTGGCAGTAAGCAATAAATAAGATCTGGATGCAGAACAGTACCTGGCGATCTTTTGTGTGCCAGAGGATTTTGCCCTGGTCAATGCTCAGCCTGTCGGGGTTCACACTGAAAGTTCCTATCACATCGAAAGCCCAGCTCGGGCCGCTCCAGTTCCACATGACAATGGTGTAGCCTTTACGGATGTCCCCGTTGGCGTCAAAAGAGATGTGGCTCTTGTGCAGGGTGAAGTTTACTTGCTTGATTTTTTGTAGGAGCTGTAAAACAGAAAGAAGAGCCCTTCCCAATGACGAGACTCCCGCTGAGGAGTGTCTTGTCTCGGCAGGGAGATGTGCTAGAGGGCCCCTTCTCTGCTCTGGCTCCTCTTTCCAACCCCTCAACAGCTAGCATACGCCCAGCTGCAGAAAGTCCTTTCTAGGTTTCTGCGAGGGCTGGCGGTAAAGGAACAGAAGTAATCTAGGGCAGGGGTCCGGGTCTAGGTCTAGGCTGCTTTGACTGTGATGGGCAGCTGAAGCCCACGAGGCTCTTCAGCTGTGACACGAGCCTTTCAGAGGGACAGAAAACCCCTGGGCACGAGGGGAAAATCCTTCCTTGTGAGGAAGGATCCTCATGGATCTTCTTCCACAAGTAAGATCCTTCCTGGTGTTGCTCTTACCTGCCAGGGATAGACTGTGCCTTTGCTGCATGCCCCCAAGGCGCAGCCCAGCAGGTCGTGGAGGCCATGGGCCACAGCATACACAGCTGAGTATACGTTGAAGGATGCTTGAGCGTCGTACACGTCGGGGGCAGCGCTGAGCGAGTGGCAGCCAGTGCAGCGCTGGGGGCAGTCCAGCTGGAATACCTGCTGGTCGCTCTCTCCACTCCCCCGGCCTGCCCCTGTGCTGCCGGCACATTCAGCCGCAGGGCTTTCCTCTGCTATCTTCCAAGATTCAAAGCGTTCCAGCATCGTGGACTCTGTCTTCTCAACTGACATCCCAATCACTGAGCCGATGCTCTGGATGCCAGGCACCTGCCAGAGTGTTTGGGCTAACGACCAGTCTTCGGAGCCCACCCACACCATGCCTGTGACGTTCCGCTGGACCACCACCTCAAAGAAAGGGCAGGCGCTTCGTCTGTTGGAGAAGACAACAGTGACGTTGACCCTGATGTCCTTGAGGATCCTGACCAGGTTGTGGAGCTCCGGGCTGCTGGCGTCCTTGTTGACGGGGATGATGCCTTGGTAGGCAACGCACACTTCGCTTGCAGTCAGCAGCTTGTAGAGGGCGTCTAAGCCGTTCCTGCCGTAGGCGTTGTCACTGCCCAGCAGAGCCACCCAATTCCACCCAAACTGCTGCAGCAACAGAAAGATGGCCTTCACTTGCTGCCTATCGCTGGGAATGGTGCGCAGGAACGAGGGGTAGAACCGCTTCAGGCTCAGCGTCTCCAAGGAGGCTTCGTAGCTAATCTGCAAAGGAAGCCAGTAGAAAGCGACTTGCACTCCCCCAGGCAGTGGCACCCTAAGAGCTAATGGCACAGGCAGCCCATCTACTGAAGAGACTTGGGGCTGGGCAGCAGACCTGGAGGTGAACGCACTGCTGCGAGAAAAACCTTTGAAGGACAGTGAGCCAGCCTCAATTCCTGCCTGCCAGCTGATAGTTCCTGGGAAGAGATCTGGGCCAAGGCAGCTCAGTCTGGCTCCTCAGCTCCCAGCACCTCCTCCCTAAGACCATTACTCCTCGGGGGCGCTTTTCTTCATGTGCCGAGGGAGCTGCGCTTACCTGCGGTACAATCCAGGGAGGACGCGGAGGCCAGCTGCTGTGGGGAGGCCCAGCCGGGTGCTGTCAGGCCCAATGACGGCCACTGCTTCGGGCTCATAGTGGCCAAAGGTGGGGAGCACCTCGACCTCCCGCCCACCTTTCCGGGTGAGGGCGCGCAGCGTGGCATGGAGGCTGGCGGGCTCTGAGCAGGTGTCGTGGATGTCATAGCCCAAGGTGACATTGGGGAGGAGGGCGCTGGAGTTGTTTATCTACCGCATGGCCTGGGAAAGGCAGTAGCCGTGGCTCTTGAAGGTGGTGGCACTGCACGAACACAAAAGTGGCTTTCAGGGAGGAAAAAACGCATTTTTGGGGGGAAAACAGGGCGACGCACAGCGAGGGGGACTCACTCATCGCAGCCGTCC